TTTTATTACACTAGGAGTGTATTTTATTGCTTTACAAACACTAGTCTAATTTGTATTAACATGTTAAAATAATTAAATAGCCATTTTAAAACATTTTAATGTTTTGCATGCATCTATACCTGACTGCTAAACCCAAATGGGAATCCACACACTAATTAAAAAGTTAATTATTATCTATAATATTTAAAAGCTAGATGGTTGAAGAAAATGCCCATAAACGATTTGTTTTTTAAACACTTAAATTAATGAACAAAAATATTCAAAGTCACAGATGCTCATCACATCACTTTATTTTAAATATTCAATATTCACATGCTTTCAAGTCACACCTGCATTTCTAATCAGAGGAAACGGACAACTTACTCTGCTTAAGATTCATCAAGTTACGCACTTTCTCGCACAACAAACACAAGCCCATTGCAAAATTGCAAAGTGTTAAAACTCCAAATAACAGCAAATCATGTTTCCATCTTCTTTCAGAAAACAAGGCATTGCTTTTTTTGGGGGGGGGTTGGAGTTAAGGAAGGAATTGTTCTTAACACGTAGCACACTGTAACTAATCAATCAAGGTGCTGAAACCAGTAAACAACAGCTGCCAGAGGGGAAGGTTTCCTATAAGAGAGACAAAGCCACATGCTAAAGCATGTTCAGTATAGCTGCAATATATACTGCAAATGTTCATGTGACTCTGCGTGAAAACTTTTCCTGCTGCATCAACATGTGCTGCTAACCTACACAAAGGCTCCACAACAATGGGCTAAAAAAATGCAGTGATCTTCAGTTCACATGAAACACAAAAAAATCAACAAATGTTTATGACGTCAAAGTGCATTTTTGTCCATTTGATGTTCAATTTTTTAAAAGAGAGAAAAAAGAAGAAGAGATAAGTATTCCTAATTACAGCTGCTACAAACGCCATGCTTTGAAGGGTGTGCACTAAGCTCAAAATATAACCAAATGATCAGCTACTTGGTAAATATTTTAATTACAAAAATAGATCAATTAATAAAGGAACAGTTGCTGCCAACTGAAACAAAACAATCGTGTGACGGCAGCTACGTTTGGCCGCTTTTTAAACCTCCCCTCCTCTTCCAGCAAAAAAAAAACAAATGGATGATTATTTCATTTAAAACAACAGCATATATAAGCAGTACTATCATCTACTGATGGCATAGGAAGAAGAAACTTTTCCACACAAATTCCCAAGATTTAAGTTGTGTATGGGGGGGTGAAAAGGGTGTGTAAGACAAGAAAGCGAGAAAGAAAAGAGAGCAGATTATTTTCTGGGATTATTCGTCTTTTTAAAAGAACATAACAGAGATATTTTCTGGAATATTTGCTAATTTGCCAGCAGATTATGGCTATCCCCATTTAACTGCTGCAAGAAATATTCCTTGGCATGTGCTTTAGGGGGCACAAACCGCCATTTTCTAATGAGATGAAGGGTGTCATCTCAAAGCAGAATCTGTGGAATAAACATGCCCCTTTTTAAGGGCTTTTGGAGCCTACATGAAAGCACTTGATGACAATAGAAAACACATGTATGGAGCAGAAAAAGGAAAAAAAGAAAAACGCAGTTGCATTAACATCGTTAAGGACATTGTTTGCTTTTAGTTAATGATACTGTAAGGCTCTAGATTCTTCTCAACATGGCGTTCACCACAGTCTTCCCTGACTCTTGTCCGAAGCGGTCAGCAACTGGATTAAATGGTTAAAACTCACGTGGAACGACAATGTTGTCAAAGATGCGAATCGCCTCGCAACAAATAAATAAATAAAAACATAATAAAGCAATCTCACCGGAAAACAGAATCCTTGATTCTCTGTAGCCTAAATAGGATTGTGAAAGAGCCTTGCGCTTGGCGACGTAGACTATATCTTGGAGCGAGGCCAGCTCAAAGTTGGGCTATAAGCTCTCTCTGTTTTTTTTAACCTAAACAATCTCCCTCCCTTCTTTCCCTCCTTGACTTTCCCTCTAGAAATGTCCTACACTGTGATTAAACAGATCGATTTTGTCAGTTCTTTTCCTACACCGACATTAACCGCAGAAAATCTTCCCACATAGGATGCAGTCTAGTCTGAAACTTTATGTCAGTTTTGCCCCCTATGGAATTTGTCCATAGCGAGGAGCCCTGAAGCTGGGGGCGGGGAGACCTTCTGTACATTCCTCAGCGATACATTCACTACTCCTCTTGCAGAGCCTGCAGCCACACACACACACGCACACGCGCGCGCGCGCGCGGGCTGCAGCCATGCATCGGCTCATTTAAACCGACAGAGACTGGAGAGCAACTTATCATGACTGCTGTCTCTATACATTCAGCCTGTGAGACTACCAGCTCTGAGACACTGCCCAGCTGGCAGAGCTGGCATTCACACCGACCCCGTGTGCGTTTCGTTATTTCATGAGGAGTGGAAATGGTTAACGACTAATAAATGGGGTTTTAAAAAATTGTATGAGTTTAACTAGGCCGACGGAAAGCTCCCTGGTTTTAAATAACCCTCATATAGATCCATACAGGAGAAAGACTACAGAGATCTAAGCACTCACTAATAAGTTAATAAGAAACTTTTCGGGGAGCAGGTCTTGTAACAAATTATGAAACGATTAAAAGTCGATAGAAAGTTGCCCTAAAGTTGAATTTTAAACCCTATTTCACGCCTTTATCGTTTAACCTATTTAAGGGTTGCCCTATAAATCCAAATACAATATAAAGTTCTCGGAAAGTTTTAAAGAGGGTATTTTTTTTTTATGCAAAGCGCCTCGGATTGAATCACTGGCGTGTTTCGTTACATCTTCATGCTTCAACCCATGACAAAAGCCAAACTGGGCAAACATGGGGAGAAATGCGTGATTGGCGCGCTGATTCATATAGAATAGTCGAGCCGGGGAACCAATGAATGAGCGCGTTGAGGCCGAGCCAGCAGGAGTAGTGCGGAGCAGGTTTGCGGCCCTCCGATTGGACAGCCTTCTCGACCAATCAGACAGCTCGGTGTGTTTGTTCAGCAGCAGCAGAGAAATAGACCCACCGAGTCAGCCATGGCCCCGGTCTGTGAGCCAGTTGCTGAAGGGCCAACACTCCCTTTGTAACCTGCTTTACATGGACACGCACACCTTGGCCTGTTCATTAGCAGACGCTGCAGAGACGCGGTGCCATCACCTCAGCTCCAGAGAAAAGCTTTTGTTCCCTTCTCTTTTTTTGTAATGCCACTTGCAGGGCTGCAGAGACGACTACACCCACCTGCACTCACGTTTCTAACTCTTTCTTAAAATACTTTTCAAAATAAGACGACCACAAGTCAAACACGGGCTTACAATGAGTTAAAATAAAAGAATAATAATAATTTTAAAAAAACACACACACCATGCATTTAAAGGAGAATGAGATGAAAGTTACTGCTATTGTGTAACTTTTTTTGTAGTTGACATTGTTGCTCTCTGGCTACTTCTAACTAACCCGTCACGCCGATTCATCTAACACAATTTTATGAATGAAAGCGTGCCCTCCTGTATCCCCACACACGATCCTGAAAAGAAAATAGATCCATGCAGCACATATCTAAAGTATACTGTGTCGCGTCTCCTGAACACGTGATGAAGTTTAAGCCTCGCTTTAAAGGTGCTGGGTTTAAAGCTGAACTTTAATATTATAATGCAGAGAGAGATGCATTTGGGTGCCAGCTTGTTTGGTGCATAAATCTGAAACTAATGCTATAAAATGAATGCTACCTTCATAAAAGTTTTCTACTTAGCTCTTCTCTCAAACTGCTTTAAAGGGGCACGGATTCAATTTTATAGTCATTTTGGCAGACACTGCGGCTGAATTATGCTCTCCGTATATTGCAGTAACGTTCAGCAACACTGCAAACTATACCCTGCACAAAGGCAGAATTTATTGTGGTACTTGACTGTACATGTGCTTATAAATTTACGCTTTGGGGGATCATTAGTGTTTTGAAACTTTGTGCCCTGACAATATATCATCCTATTGACATCGCCAGGCATGGATTAATCTGCCAATTAGTCCTGTGCATGCAGAAATGACCCGTGGAGCGACCCGTTCGTAAACTGTCGACCTCTGCCTATGGTTTACAAAATCTTACAGACAGTTGTGTAATGTTTTAAGACACGTATTCCACACGTGATTGAACTGGGCTTTGCTTTACATAGTACGCTAGGGGGACATTGGTGTGGGAGACCCCTCCCTCTTTCAGTAAATTCAAATCCATGCTGGGGTATAGCAGAGAGCATTCGCCATGTGTGATTCGCTCCACATGGCCAACGCTTCGTAGTTGTGCCAAACAGCCCGAAAGACGACAAAACAAATGGCGTGGCTGCACTCATTTCGCCCAAAGATACCCCCTCGACGTGACCAAGAACAAATGGGGCCTGCTGTTGGACTTTGAGTTGTGGATCAGAGAGGGCATGGCTCCACTCCACTCAGAAGATGGATGCCGTCATGGAGAGTAGTAGCCTACGTGTCATTCCCACAATGCGTGAGGGCCCAAGGAGTTTCACAGGACCTTTCCCCACTCAAAATACGTACAACTGAATGCGCTCTATATGCAATTTGACAATATGGTGTCAAAAAAAATCATTTATGAGTGGCCCCACCCCCTTTTCCATCCGTTGTGTCGCCAATATAGCGCACTTAGCACAGCCGTGCGCACAAGCCCTCGCAATATCAGCGTCTCCCTGTTATGGGCGTGCGTGCGCGCACCGCCGTTTTTACTATTCCTCATTTGACCAATGAGAGTCGAGGCTGTGCAGAGAAAGGCACACGAATGTGATTCTAGTAAAGATACACTAGTTTCTCACGGAATCCCTTTACGCACAAAGCTCGCCAGGTTTTTTCCCAACACCAATCCACTCTTCCCCTCCTTTTTTTCTTCACTCCCCTTTGCTGTCCCCACCCCAGACTCCCGTGCAATTTTCCCCAATCCCAAACACTTAATTGAGCAATTGGGATTCCTCACGTGTGGGCTGATTTGTAGTTTGAACACGTGGCTCATTCAAAAAAGCCGGAATAGCTGAGGATTTTTTTTCTCTCCCCCCTTCTTCTTCTTCTTATTCTAGGTTCTAGACTTAGAGGCGGGCTCCAGCCTTACCGTGTGTGACATTCTCTGTCTCTTTGCCAAGGGGTTTGGAGGAAGACACAAAGTAGTTTCTCCTCCTTTTCACCCAGCCCGCCATCGTTCGGAGACACGAGATTAATAATTGAGCATTTATTTATTGCGCGATAGAGACAGAGGGGCGAGGGAGCGCAAACGCACCGTGAGGCTGCCAGTTTAAATCTATCTGTGGCTTGAACGACCGGGAAGCACGCTACAGCCACTCCGTAGTAGTAAAGGCGATTTAGGCTACTCCAAACACTGCACATCCGCGAGAGCAAATAACTATCTCTCCCTCAGCGTAAAGATTGTCCCTTTCGGCGCAGAACATGAATAAGCTATACATTGGCAACGTAAGCGCAGAGGCGAGCGAGGAGGACTTCGAAACTATCTTTGAGCAGTGGAAGATTCCGCACAGTGGTCCATTTCTTGTCAAAACTGGCTATGCGTTTGTGGATTGCCCGGACGAGAAGGCAGCAATGAAGGCCATCGATGTTCTTTCAGGTGAGACAATCTGGGGCAAAAAGGTGCTATTAGGAAATTATCCCAAACTGCTGCAATTGTGTGAAGATTGCTTTACTTCTGGTGTTGGTGGTGGGGGGTACCCTATGAGAAACGCATGTAGTCCTGTAGGGTGGGGGTGTATCCAAGCGTTTCTTTCTCTCACACAACCTTTACTTGGCCTTTTGACACCGTGGGGCTCACACAAATGGCTTCCCCCAGGTTTGAGTGAAATTCTGCCCTTGTAATTTGACTGAGTGTGGCTTGGTAAAATGCTAGAGTAAACTGCTCAGTGTGAGCAATGCGCGTTATGTCCGTTCAGGGCAGCGAGCGGGGGTTGTGGAAGCCGTGAAGTGAACCCTTATTGTGAGCTCTATCACACAGCCCCAGCTTGGCACGATTGAAGAGTAATGTGTCGTCGCTTTCACCAGTTTCTACTGGAACTTGCACTCTTCTCCAGGTTTCAAAATACAGGCCTTCTCCAACAGCCTCCACTCGCTATACTGTGAAGCCATTTCGTCCATGCTGACACACCAGGTGGTTTAATTGTGTTGGCCTACATTTGGCCAACACAAACTCAGGCAGGCAATCCACATTTAGCTTTTTTTTTTGTACATTAATCACTCCAACCCTTCACGGCTTGTTGTCTAATTTCAAGTTAAGCGTGCACCTACAGAACACGTAACAGCTGAGCTAAACTCGTTCACTATTTTTACGAATAGTGCTAATGTCAGGCTCATTTGTCCTCGTGCTACCAGTGGCTCGCACACTTTGAACAATTTGTGCTCCTATGCGAGAAATATCCAGCTCGCAGTCATGCTTACGTATGCTTCTCTGGATTTTTAGTAGTAAACATTAACCCCTGTTTTCTTTTTTTGGGGGTGGGTTGTTTTCTCAGCAGTATGGAGGCCTACACGAGATGTCATGTGGTTAATGAAATTAACGTAGCTGTATTTTGCTAATTTAAATTTCTCTTTTCTTTTTAAGGTAAAGTTGAACTTCACGGAAAAGTTCTCGAAGTGGAGCACTCGGTCCCTAAACGTCAAAGGTACGTGGGTTTTTATTAAATAGTGCTTGGTTAAACTCGTAGAAGCCCCACATATATTTTTAAATTGTAGTCACCCTCTCTTCCTCGTCACACTCTTTTTTTATTTTTATTTTACTCTGACCTCGTGTGTGTCTGTGCGAGTGTGTTTTAATAATGCTGCATGTGTGTTTGTTGCCAAGCTTTACATATTTATTTTAGTTAAAATACGTACGCCCATCACCCCCCCCCCTTTCTTTTTTCCCTGAATGCTTTTTGGGGTCAAATAAAAGGGGCGTATGGCGCTCTGTTCCTTCCTCTCGCCATGACTGAGGGGGTGCTCCCAAAACCGTCGTGCATTTGAGTTAAACCACCTCATGGTTGTCTTCTCCTCGCTTGTTCCATTCCCTCGTGTGTATGTGTTTAGTGTATATGTGCAGTTCTTGGCGATATTAAAGCACAAAGCTCAGGGCGAGTACCAAAGTGTGCAGGCTGAAATGTGTGCTGAGTGAGTGCAGGCTGGATTTGAGGCGTACAGGCCTTGTGAAGTCGTCCATTTGAGAATGATCTGCCCGTCATTCTCCCTTGTTTGCCCTACGCTTCCGCCCTCCTCAGCACATTGTGCTGCTGTTGCATGAGATGGACTCCAAACGCGAGTGGAATGGGAGGTTTGGGACCCAAGTCACGAAAACCCTATGGTTTCAGAGTTAGACGCCCGTAACCACACTGGGCGGTTCGGTGTATGATTTCCAAAGGTGCACAATATATTTTTTTTTGTGTGGTTCTCGGAATATGTGCAGTGGACTTAAAAATAAGGGCCATTTTTGACATGGTGTGTGTATTTTTATATTATTTGGTGGCGATGCTGTTTGGTGAAAAATTAGCATTTTCCTGAATTAAATTGCTTTTGGTTGATGATAGTTGCGGCATTTTCTGACTAGTATTGCAGGTTTGCATTGTTTGCTCTCAACGTTTAACTGATCTGCTCTTATGTAAAGAAATGGGTCACACTTGAAATGACAAATTCCTGCTGAAACACGTTGGCATTAAAAAAAAACTGCTCCCCGTGACTTGTATTTATTTAAAGCGTTTTGGATATAAAATGGAGCAAACGCAGAATTCGCGAGACCTTTACATGAAATGTATTTTCCACGTGGACATCACAGAAGCATTTCCCGGTGGGCTGTTGGTCTAAATTGTAGCTTGGTTAAATAAACCAGGTGTACTTAAATGAGAATTTGCGTCAGATCTTCAGACGTCCCCTCTAAACGCTGTGGTGATTGTGTTTTTGTGCACACGAGTCGAGTTTGCGCCACATTTCAGAAAGGTAAAAAAACGTGCCCTTCCTTTGCTACATGGAACACAGTCAATGGGAACAGTATTCTGAGTATACGCTACACACACGCGCATACACACCAAACACACACACGGACACTGGGGCCCCTCTTTGCACTCCAGCTTGAAAATATGAACTGGGGGGGGGGCTTGGCCAATCACCTTTGAACCTATTAAGGGGGAAGTGCTAGAGCAGACGAGGATCAAGGGTGGGGTGGCTATAGTTTGGAGTTCATACAGATTCCACTGAATACGATGACATGGTTTGTGGGGATGTGGTATTTTTATAGTTTCAAGCGAACCAGGTTAGAGCCCAATTACATTAAAAAAAAAAAAAAATTGTGCGTATTCTCATGCCTCTATCACGCGTGTGACCAGGGGGCACCAAAATTATGATCTATGCATTTGGTGTAACATTGGGTTTGTCTTAAGGAGTCTTAAAAATGGGCTGTAGGCATTAACAGTATAACGCAACGTAATTATTTAATTGGAAACTCATTTTCTGCACATACACGGCGCTTTTGGTTATTTAACTTTGAGTTAATTTATGAACGTTTGCTTTTTACGTTGCGTGACCTTTTCCTAAAAAAAAGTGTTAAAGTCTTTTGAAGCAAAAAAAAAATCCGCCATTTTAAAGATAACATTCACTTATTCTCGCCAATATCTGCTTTATACGATTGTTCTGTGGAAAGCCTGTAATTTTTCTTCAGCTTAAAAATTCAGTTGTGTAAAGCTCTGACCTAGTTTCATATTTTCATGTATTTGTGTACATATACATAAAAAACAAACAAACTAATAAATAAATGGTTTTAAAAATCTCCTATGATGCAATTGCACCACAGGTAAACCCAAATTGAGGTGGTGTATAGGGTTGAATTCTACTCTCTACTTGGATATTTTTATTTTTTTCAACAACGTAAAAAAAAATGCAACTTGCCCATTCCCACGTGCACATATATGTCGCATGTACTGGAAGAAAGAAAATGGCATGGTTGTAAGGGGGTGGTGGCCCCATGCATGTATGCGTGGGTATGTGTATTTGAGAGGAAGACCGACATCAAACACGCATGTTTAAATGTGCACAACTTCCTTTAAACTCAGTTCTTTAACATTTTAGTCCTGGTGATTTTGTTTCTAAAGCTGGGTTTAAATTGTAAATTAAATTGAGACAGTACTCAAACTTCTCATGGTTGCTTATAGAAATCACTCCTAGTGTAAGAATTCTCGGTCACAGGGTCAGCGTGGGGCCCCACCTGCACCCCCCCCTCCCAAAAAAAAAAGAAAAAGATGAGTTGGGGTGCCAGAGAATTATGAATGTGGCCCCTTGTTTTACTTGGACTGCAGGCAAATGCTAACTCTCCCTCAGTCTAGACTCAAATCAGACTGGCATTGCACTTATAGCTTGTTCTTAAACCTGTTCTGTAAGATCTGGAGGTAAAGACATCGGTGCGTAATGGCTTTTCGCATATGGCAAGCTCTAACTGTTCAACTCTGGAACTGCCAAGAATTTCAATATATCCAAATGCGTTAATGTAGTTTATTGGGTTCATGGTTTGCATGCACGTAAGGCCTGTGAGGGCAGTGGAAACCAGACTGTGTGGAGTTCAGTCATTCAGAACCTCTGCCTTCTGAATAAGCAGTGGCTGTGGATGGGCGTTGAGCACAGACCTCGTGTGTTTCTCTCTGTCAACAATGGTGTTGACGTACAGTGCTTCATTATGGGGGGGGATGAGTGAGGAAAAGAAATGGAGATGACTACAGGTATCATGTAGCATTATTCTGCTCAACTTATGAACGCTGTTGTACGTATACATTTGCATGCTTGTGTATACGTGTCTATTGAAACCACCTGTATGCACGGTCTCCCATCAGGAGGCCACAGGTCTCAGCTGGGCTCCAAGAATGGGGACGAATGTGTAGAATGTTGGTCCGTTTGAAAGTAAATAAGGTGCTCGGCCTCCTCCTGGCCATCACATGACGAGCCAACCCTAGTCACTCTTGGCCCTCCCTCCTTTCCTCCCCCTCCCACTTTTAACCCTGCTCTACATGTTCCTGTCAGTGGACTTGTCCGTGTCCATGGCAACGGGGCCCCACCCCCACGGGGCAGAGAGGGCCCTTGTTACCCTTGCTTGAAACTGGGCTATCCCCCCCAATACCACACCCCACTCACACAGCCTCACACACACCCACCCCTCCCCAAATCAAAGACTGGGACTGGGGAATGTATACCACCCACACCCCCCCACCCCACCACATACCCTGGCTGACTTCTTGTGTGGGTGGGTATAGGTTAATCCAACTGGAAGTGCTTTGTGCATTTGCACATTTCGCATGGCGTTCCCACCGCAATGCAGAGCATACCAAATGTGTGGGGAGATGCTGCAAGATCAGCCAGGAATGGCACAGTGGGCCGGAAAGGGCTGAAATTCCTGGTGGGAGTTATTTGGGAAGTTTTCTTTACAATTTGCCCATTTAGAGTTAAGTAGTTTCTTTAATGCGTGGTACTAAATATATTGTACCCCTATAAGCGTGACTGTAGTCCTAGTGGCTAAGTTGAGTAATTTCAGCTTTATGGCCCTTATTGCAGCGGTCTCCAACCTTTTTTGTGCCACAGACCGGTTTATGCCCGACAATATTTTTCACAGACCGGCCTTTATTGTGTCGCGGATAAATACAACAAAATAAAACTGGTTCCGAAAAAAAGATTTATTCATAACACACGTGAAAAGACCCAGGAAATCCGAGTTAATGATCAAAACGATAACAAAATAATGCTGAAAACCGATAAAAACCCTGAAAACCATACATTTCACACCTGAGCCTCAACTCTCGCGGCCCGGTACCAAACGACTCATGTACCGGTCCGAGGCCCGGGGGTTGGGGACCGCTGCCTTATTGTACACATGCAGTACAATTTTTAGTGTGCGCACATTCATGTATGGAAAGTTTCAAATTTGTGTAGTCAATCTTGATCTTAAAAATTAAGTTCACTGTGTAAAAGGGGAGTTCATCAATGCTGCATGTTGAAAGGTGCCATCTTGTGCAAACTACCACACTGTTAATGGTCTTTTTAGAAGAAAAGAAAGGAGAAGAAGAAAAAAAAAAATCTGCCCTGTACATGTAGATCCAGAGGCGCTCAGGGACATTTGAGGGAAAAGGGGGTGAAAATATGTAGTGAAATTCTAGACTTTACACAAGGGGCAAAAATGTGCACGTAACGCTAAACTGACTGCACGGAACTGTGTGTGTGTGTGTGTGTGTGTGTGTGTGTGTATATAATGTGCATGTAAAGGCGATGTGGAACTGGTCTGGGGTCAAGGTTTCATTCCACGTCGTGTGTGTGTGCGCGCATGCCTCAGCTCCAAGCCATATGTACGCCTTTTCTTTAGGTGTGTGTGTCAACAGGCAGTGGACTTTGGAGTGGCTTGTACTTTTCTCACATTTTTACACAACATGCAGACAGACCCTTATGAAACTGAGAGTAACTGATTCAGAAGGCCTACTGTCTGCATGACCTCCACACATAACCACTACACTTATGCAGCTGTAAACATAATGAAAGTGGGAGCCATAAGCAATAATTCTGTCTCAATTATTCCTTCCTATGCAACAATGCAAAACTCAACTGTTTGTCTTCACTTGCGTCTTCTGCGTGCACACTCTGAACAAGCGCTTTTTTTTTTTTCCTTTTTGACTCTTCCTATGTAGTGTGATGTAAGGAGAGATGGGGGGGGGGGGACAACCCAAAAAAACCAATGGGTCTGAGACTTGAAGTTGTTAAAATCTCATGATTCTGTACTATAGGATGCATGCTAGAGTCAGGTCGCGTAGGCGAAACATTTTAACACGTTATTCTCAGTGTGCTTTCATTTTCTCTGCCCCCCCCCCCCGTTTCTTCGTAATGCATCTTACTACTATCACCATCTGTTGGATTTACTTTCCCCCCCCTCTTGTCCCGTTCTTCCCCTTGTCACTCTTTGCTCTCAGTAACACAGCTGGTAATTTGGGAGAAGGGCGTGGTGTATGTGATTGTGTGCGTGTGTTACATTAATTTGAATTTTGGGAAACTCGAAACTAAACTACCCCACTTTTTTTTTTTTTTTTTTTTTTCCCTCTCCATTTCATGCAGGCTGTTTCAGTACACCTGAGTTTAGAGTGGAATTAAAGACCTTCTGTCAGTGTCCATCTTACTGAGAAATAAGTCCTTTGTTTTTTGTTTTTTTTTTAAAAACCCCCAAAACAAAACACAAACCTCTTCTGTATTATCCTTGGTATTGTCACTTATTAACTAGCTGTTGCTTTCTCTTCCATCTTTTGTCCCATCTACCTTCACTTTCTTTATCCATTCACCCCTCACCCTCTTTCCCTCTTGTTCTCTCTCCAGGAGCTGTAAGCTGCAGATCAGGAACATCCCGCCTCACATGCAGTGGGAGGTGAGTGCTAACAGGCTGCTAACCGCTTCCAGGGCGGGGCACCATGGGGCAGCCCAACTGGGCTCTCATTTAGTGGCCTCTGGAGTTACCTTGCCTCCTTTTGGGTTTCAATTGAGCATGCACTTGATGATTAGTTTGACTTTGGCTGCTGTAGCTTAGTGCAACATACTGACCGGTATCGGTGGGTAAGGAGGGTGGGGGACTCTTACTAATGTCACTAGGCAGTTGACAGTCGGGATTAGAGATTAATTTGTTTTTATTAAATTTTCACTACCTTTGAGTGTTGTGGTGTTTTGGCTTTTTAGGGAAAAAAAAGATTTAATGAGGGTAGACTCTCCAGATGATGCTGACAGGCTCAGGCAGGAGTATGTTTGTAGCACTGGATCTACATGCGTTTGCTGCTCGCAGAGATTTGTAAAACAAAAAAGCTGCATGCTGATGTTTTTAAATGGGGAAACGTGAGTTGATTGTTTTGCCATGGTGTCCTTCACCACTGATCACATGGGCTTGTTTGTGTGTGTGATGAGGCTTTCACTTTCAGTGTGTTCTTGCACAAAAAAGTGGAAATGAATTAAAAATAAATCAGTGTTGTCTGAAGGGTTGTGAAAGATTCATGCAACCCAGGGGTTGGCCTGGCTTTAAGTCCTCCTTTAGTGTATGGCAGTGCATTATTTTTTTCCTTTAAATTGTCATTTTACTTGTTTGATACTTGTGAATTTTTCTTTGTCTAAAACATACAATGCATGTGGGTATTGGTAGTTTTATTATTTGCTACAGGTATCAGTACCTGACATTGAGAAAGGTGGCAAAATAAAATCAGCCCTTGCTCAATTGTATGCAGACCACTGCAACAGATACATCTGTAATGCTTTTGTCAGGTTTGTGAGATGGTTAGCGGTGCAAACTCACATGGAAGTGAGGTGGATCTTAATTTGCTGGACACATTTTACGCAATGCACAATTTGAGGCTTATTACGCTGTTGCATTAAACTGTAAAAAAAAAAACAACCCTGTATTTTAAGCATTGTCTGAAATAACAGTTCAAGACTTGGTGTTTGCTATTCAGCTCCAAAATGACAGCTGCTACATAAAGTAGTATTTAACAGGGTGTATTATTTGACTTGATTTTTGAGTTTCATAGTGTACCTTGATATATTAGACACCCCCCCTTCCAAAAAAACCCCAAACAAATTTTCTCTTCTGTAAATTCTTCAGAAAACTGATCTTTAAATTTTACAAAATTGTTCTCAGATGTATAAGTTCATGAGGTTAAGAAGTGAGTATTCTGACAGGTTTAAACTAAGCTGACGTAATTAATTTGCACAAAAGCTACACGTGAAATGGGGGGTGGGATGAATACCAATAGAAATGTTGAGCTTTGACATGGTCAGGACTTCAAGGCCGTTGCCTGATTAGTAGGGGAAAGAAATGGTCTGTGTTGAGCAACAGTCATGTGTGTGTCATGCGTAGCACCTCTTTTTTTTTTTTTCTTTTTTTTTTTGTTTCTCCCCCCTGCATTTAAAAAAACAAACTGGTGTCTGCTCCACGTTCTTACACACTAATCTGTTGGGCACACCTAAAAGATTTTTTTTATGTGAGCTTAAATTGCAAATTTTTGAACTTTGGCAGTGGATTTTTTTTTTTTTTTTTTAAGCTTTAAAATGTTGCAATTTATCTAAAGTCAAAATTACGCACTTGCATGTGGAATGTGGCAGCTTTAACACGGCTTTACGTGACTCCCTCCCCCCAGCTACATCACCTCCACTGCAGAGGTTTAGCTGTCTTGGCGTGTGCTTGCACCGCAATTTATATTTTAAAAAAACAAAAAAAAAGGAATAATAAAAAATCTGCTTTGTAAAGACCATGGAAGCCAAACAAGAGAATTCTCATGTTCAATTGCACAATTGTTCCACACTGTTCTGAACTACAAGAGTGTAAAGGTTAATGCATGACTTTAGATTTCAGCCTGCTTCAGTCAGTATGATCAAATGGCTACGGACACGCTCAGGGTTTTGTATTTTGTGTAAGTAATGGTGGGCTCGCTTTGCCTACGCATGTTCCTTAACTCCAGCTCCAGATACACCCATGTTCTTACTATGTAGCGAGGCAGCTTTCTCTAAAGGTGACATGGAGATTCCTCTCCCCTCAAAAGCGAGGGGGGAGGTGATTTAGAAGAATGGAGGAACTGAATAGAAAGAGGTCTTTTGATGCAAAGGCCTTGTTTGTATCTTATCAGGTAGATAAGACAAACGGGTCATATTTTGTGTGTGTAAAAACCTTCCAGCTAGAGAATGGTGGCGAGAGTAGCAGCGTGTTCACGAGCTGTAGTGAGTGGGTGGGCCTGGACTGTTTCCCCTTCCCTTCCATGTGCGCTGATTCACAGAATGTGTAGCATGAACTCACACCCCTCCCCCAGCTGCTGCTGTTTCCTGCTGGAATGTACCCCACCCTTTCCTGAATGGCCTGGATTCCCATTGGCCAGACTCTGTAGATGGACAGGCAGAGTAGCCAGCCAGCAGCCAGTAACTCCTAGCTTCAGGGAACTCGTATCGGTGCTGGAGCAGCCAATGATGGAGAGTGGAGATGGCAGAGAGGCGGGAGGCAGTCTGGTTGGTGGGTTGGTAGGGTTGGGGTGCGAGGTGGGACAGACGGGGATGCGGTCCTGTTGGCTAGAAAGTGGGGTTGAGCTCCTGAGGGTGTGGCCATGGGTTCAAGCATGGTGGAGGTCTTAGCTCAGATGGGAGCCGGCTCGCTCCCCCCTCCTCCTCTCGCTCACATTTGATCACATCTGTGAAACGAAGTCCCGTGGTCTCGTGATTTGAGCGGATTGCTAGCTTGGTGGGGTTTTCTGTTATGTGCATATGCTAAGGTTTCTCCCAACGCGCCTCTTCTATGTGTGGATTCAACATGCTGATGATCTTAATCTGGTGCATTTGCCACTATTCAAATAAATCCCACAAACAAGTCCTTCATTATGCAATTTATGCTTTTGTCTGCCTTTTACAGCGTTTCTAAGATTTTCTATTTAAAATGTTTCTTCTGTTTTATTAAAAAAAAAATCAAGTAAAAATAAAGAATGAAAGGCCCCAGCTTCCCACAGGGAGTGTCATAATTTGAGTTGACAAGCTTTTACAAGAAGCAGCGAATTTATCAGTGTAACTCATCTTTGAACTTGGGTCCAGAATTGGTGGAGTATGTCCTGGCAGTGGGCTAGGCCTGTTCTTCTGGATGATCTTCTGTTCACCAGTGGGTTCAGATCAAATCCTTTAGACACAATGTACTCATTTTTTATTTATTCATTTTATTTTATTTTTTTTCTTCCCTCTCCCCTCAGGTTTTGGATGGTATGCTTGCTCAGTATGGTGCAGTACAGAGCTGTGAACAAGGTAAATATGCTGTTGATTAAGCCTCGTGTTACAAGACACACCCTGCACTGAAATCAGTTTTTCCAAATCCTTCCTTACGGTACAATTGTTTTCAAGTAAATGCTTTATTAGCTTCCTAATGAAATTTTAGAGTAACCCAGGTTGGTCAACTTTCACCGTCATTGTTGGATGTGTGCTGACTTTGTGTATTCTCACAGTAAACACTGATACAGAGACTGCAGTTGTCAATGTTCGGTATGCTACCAAGGACCAGGCGAGGCTGTGAGTACGCACACACAGTATTCACGTCATTAACCTCTATCTCATCGGTCTTGATGCCTCTGACATGAATCTGCTCATGCTCCCACCCCCTTCTTTTTTTTCCCCCTCCCCCCCACATTGTGTTTGACACCACATCAAGTTCCTCTGTCAAGTGTTCTTACAGTGCACCTGATTTCCTCCTTCCAACACCCAGTCTAGTTTAATTTGACATGCAATGATAACTGTGTGTGTGTGTGGGAGATGGAGGGGGTTAAATTGGCCATCTGGTGCCCCCTGGTGTACATGTATCATACTACTCTGCAAGAGTGGTTGGAAGAGTCTCTTGGAATAATTGATCAGTTCATTAAAAATCTAAATCCTTGAGGCTAATGAGGAGTGAGTGCTGACAGAATGACTGTAAGGTGGCGTTTGGCCAGATCCCCAGTACCTGCTGGGAATGTTGAGTTTGGACCTTGTTCTTAAGACACAAATAATTTGCATTAAAGCCTCTTTGTTTAAATGTCCCTACCTGCTTTTTGGTTTCTTCAATTAATGAAGAGTCAAACTTGAAGCTTTGTGTAGTTTTTTTTATTTTTTATTTTTTTTACTCAATGTCTGCAAGCCTTTTGCTCTTAAATTAAACGTTCGGTAGCAATCGAGAGGTTAACATGCCAACATCTTTAATTCTTTTCAGGGCAATGGAGAAGCTGAATGGATCTATGATGGAGAACTATACCTTGAAAGTGTCCTACATCCCTGATGAGACGGCGGCACCAGAGGGTCCTCCAGCAGGGGGCCGGAGAGGCTTTAATGCCCGCGGACCCCCTCGGTCTGGCTCTCCGGGTTTGGGCGCCCGGCCTAAAGTGCAGTCAGACATCCCGCTACGCATGCTGGTTCCCACACAGTTTGTAGGGGCGATCATTGGCAAGGAGGGCGCGACTATCCGCAACATCACCAAACAGACCCACTCAAAGTACGTACACGGAGGTCAGGAATTATACTCGGCATCGCACGTCAGCGGTGTCCTCCTTTCCTTTTCTGCACTGCTGGCCGTTGAGCAGCGATATGATGAGCGCCTTTTCTTTGTGTCAGGATTGACATCCACAGAAAAGAGAATGCAGGTGCTGCAGAGAAACCCATCACTATTCACTCAACCCCTGAAGGCTGTTCGAACGCTTGCAAAACCATCATGGACATCATGCAGAAGGAAGCCCTTGACACAAAGTTGTGAGTTTATAACAAAATAAGTAAATGTGTACCTTAGTTCAGTTTTGTCACCTATTAACCTTTGGCTGAATCTACTGTTACACTGAACTAAAATGAGGGTATAACTGCAAACTGTGATGCTGTTATTTATAATTTTATAAATAAATCACTTTGACAAATCGTATCAAAGCTGCTTCATTAAAAACAGCTTTCCACGTCCCTATAATGCTCCCATTTTTAACTTCTTACGAGTTCAGACGTCATATCTTGGCTTTGCTTAAAAATATATCAGCCCTGCAAACAGGCAGCATGTAGGAAAAGTAATAGAACTGATTGTATCAGATTTTGTTTTTCATTTGACTTCGCAACCCCTTTTTCCCCACAGTACTGAGGAGATCCCACTAAAGATCCTTGCACACAACAGCTTTGTGGGAAGATTAATAGGTAAAGAAGGACGCAACCTGAAGAAAATTGAGCAGGAAACTGGGACCAAGATCACAATCTCACCGTAAGTTGCAAAGAGTTCATTGAAACTCTACCTATTGACAGTTTGCAGTCTGTGAGGTTGGTTTATAAAATTACACCACACTTAGAACAATAAGTTCTAATGCACCTCCAACCTTTATTCTGTCCAGTCTTCAGGACCTAACCCTGTACAACCCAGAACGGACCATCACAGTAAAGGGCTCCATTGAGGCATGTGCAAAAGCTGAGGAGGAAGTGATGAAGAAGATCAGAGAATCCTATGAGAGTGACATGGCTGCTATGAACGTAAGCAATTTAAAAAAATAAATAAAATTTGAATGAATCACTTTTTCAAAGGGGAAATCTGAAGTAACTTTGTTCCAGTAAATATAAATGTGACCGGTTTCTTTAAAAGTGACGTAGATGGTCTGTTAATGTTCTTGGCTTTCAAGTACACTGGCCAGACATGGCCGTTAAACAGGCCCCGGGTGGGGGAGGTGGGGATTTTCTGGCAGGTCTTAGAGTCACCAGGATACTTTCTGTGATTAGGGTTTACATAAAATCAAGAAATCAGATAACAAATTAATCTGCCAAGGAACTGGAATAGTGACGTTTACATGTACGGGAGTGATCTGAAACTACCATGGTGTAATGGCACTCTTTCATCCTCAGTTTTCTTGTAAAGATACGTGTACATTTTTAGTGTTTTATTTGTTCATGTATTAAGTCTTCAATACAAAAGACACTTCCACATGTCAGGTATTGTGAAATCAGTAGAAAGGAATACTTTTTTTTTTTGCTTTGCTACTCCTGTGGGTGAAGAGGAAATTTTGCTTAGCTTCCTAGCAGAGCTCACTAACCCCCAATGTGTCTGTGGAAATCATAACACCTCCAGGAAATTCCCTTGAAGGCTAAGGAAAGGTGCATCACTGCTTCCTTTTAGCATGGGATCAGCTGGACCTCCCTTTTTCTGAAAGGAAGAGGAGGAAATCCCATCTCACGATTCAAACGTTACACATTTAAACCATTCATGAAAAACAAACTGTCAACGTAACTGGGAAGAGGTGCAGGTCATGTAAATGTAAACTAATGGGTCATGGCAATAAAATGGGAAAACGCACTTGATATTTTGAGCCTTCGCCAGCAGGTTTTTAAACCACAGGTGATTCTTACACTGCTGTGATTTTCGTTTTTGTTTTGTTTTTTAAATCTGCGTGTAAAGTTGCCTTCTATGATCTCATTAATTATACATTTATTCCAGTTAAGCTCTGTACATGAAGACTGAGCTATATCAAAATAATACCAATAAGTGAAGTCAATCTTTTAGCACACTTAAACTGATTTTCTTTTTTCCCCCTTCATATCTTTCCTTGGCCTTTATTTATATATTTTCCATCAAAATTGAGGAAAGGAAAACCCCATAAAATTGTGGCGAGGGACTGTACCATTAGTCTTCCTTCTTAGCTGTTGAAACAGAGTTTACAAGGAATGTGAAAAAAGCTTGAGAAGCTGCACTGTGCAGTTGTTTACCAAGTGGACAATGCCTCATTTGAGATTTTCTGACTGTCCTAGAAAATATGCTTCAGGCTCACAATTTGATTCATTTTGCTTGTCCAGGGTTTGCAAAAGTCCCAGCTGAAGTCGAGCTGTTTTTTGCTTCGGGAGTTGATTGTTTAATTCAGAAAATTGTCAGTTTTTTTTTTTTTTTTAAGTTTTCTTTACCTAAAGTGGTGCATGTGCAGACACGAATATGATTTGATGGCAGCTGTCGTTGGAGGTCTTTACTTGCCCACTTCAGTAGTAGAAATTCTGTGATGTAGCGTTGTTAATTGTCCAGTGCATCTTTCAGCTAGTGAGTGGGCGTGAAGTGTGCTGCCTCCAGGCTGCAAGGAGCATTTCCAGTAGTGCAGGCATATCTAAAGGAGACAGTTTCCTGCTGTGAGAAATTAAACTTAAAGCTTGAGGGTTGTTTTTTTTTTTTTGTTTTTTTTTCTGGGGGTGTGTGTATTTTCCCTTTGTCCAGAGATCATGTGTGATAGCAGTGTTGGTTAGATAATCCATGTGGTGGTGATGTGAAAGCATACAATGTGAGATGTGAATTGCTAACAGAGCTGTCTTTTCTTTGCAGCTCCAATCCAACTTGATTCCAGGCTTGAATCTGAATGCTTTAGGTTTGTTCCCCACTACAGCAACAGGCATGGGTCCCTCCATGTCCAATATCACACCTCCCGGAGCCCATAGTGGATGCTCATCATTTGGAGTAAGTGAGACACTCTTGCAGATATGTGCTTACTGCATACACTACATTACACAAATCCAGGGCAGCCCATGTTTAATTGTTACGCTTGGTGTGCTGGTTCCTTGGGTCAGGTTGGTGAAATCTGTTAGAGTAGAGACTTTGTCTTTAGCCACTTGGTATCATGTTTGTTTTTTCCCCTTTAGTGCAGTCCTTATGGGGGTGAAGGGCCATTTTGGGCTCCTATGCTGTCAGCGAGTAGCCAGTCCCTTGCTGTAAGTTGCCCATCCCCAAAGTGCTTTGCACGGCTTGTGGCTGCTTGCTGTGGGGTTTTGTTTTGAGTTTATTTATTTATTTTTATTTATTTATTTATTTTAGGAGTGTTGCATCCAGTTTGTCCTCTTGTGACATTTAGGCAGCTCCTAGTGTGTTTGTGAAGTGAATAGGGAGGCTGTCTTTCTCTGATCAGTTTCAGGAGATTGTTTCTGCTAAATGACATTTGAGTTGTCAGGGAAGGTGAAGGTTTGAACGGCAAGTTCATCCTCTGCATCAACAGCCCTTCTCCACATTTTGTAGCCTGCCAAAGCAACTTGTTAGTGTGCCCTCAGCTGGCACATGGGCTGGAAAATTGGACTCGCTCCAAAACCAACAAGTACTACTTCTTCTGTTTTGTTTTTTTTTGTTTGGGGGGGGGAGAGAGACAGTGCAACCACCTCCCTTTCAGATCTTGAGTCAGCCGCACTAGAGACTGGTGATTTCCTGGTCCAGTTTGCATTAAGGCTCCATAGTGTAATAGCTTATTTAAACATTACTGTCCACTTGAGATTTTTATTTTTTTTCCTTAGCAAAAATTAACAAGTTCCATCTAACGGTAAACCTTTGCATGCAGCCAACTCGTACTATAGCTTCTGTAAACAGAATCGGTGTGCGACTGTGCCAAATGTTTTAACACCAATCTGAGCATGCAGCACGTTCCCAAAAACACCCAACGATTTTGGGAACATGCTGATCAGTAATGAGTAGGAACCCCACTGGACAATAACGGTAGCATCTGCGTTTACTGCTGCGGGGGCAAACATGCCTCTTCTGATCAACCAGTGATTTCAAGCAGAGGGTGTAAGCGCCGATGACACTTAATGAGTTTAACAGCTTCCACAAGATCGACTGTTGGCATTTGCGCGTTGGTGTTTGAAAGTTGAGCAAATGTTCTGGGGGGGGAGGTCTGTGCCTGCGATCTTCTCCTAGTCGCAGTAGTACTAAGCTGTTTATATCCAGCAGGGACACCCAGAATCGGAGACTGTTCACCTGTTCATTCCTGCACTTGCAGTGGGCGCCATCATTGGAAAACAGGGTCAACACATCAAACAACTGTCACACTTTGCCGGAGCCTCAATCAAGGTGAGTTATTGACAGGAGGGTAGAGACTCTGAATGTCAATGATAACATTTTGATGCTTGCCGTCTTCCCGTTTTCATTTGATGGAAACTGGAGCATAAGTGAAGTTTCTTTTTCTTTTTCTTAATGACCTCTTTCAGATCGCCCCTGCAGAAGGAATGGATGCGAAGCAGAGGATGGTCATCATTGTCGGACCACCAGAGGCTCAGTTTAAGGTGTTGCACGTTCACAGCCAAATAAATGCATTAAACTCTCATGCTAAGATTAAAAATTAAGATGTCACTTTATTTAATCATAGCGGAAGTTTGCATTTATCTTGATTTTATTTATTCGCGTGTTAGTGGAGCAGAAGTATTTCTGAAAGAAGTTTTACCTAATTCGGTGGGATTAACCTGTGCTTGAACACATCTGACTGCAGGCTCAGTGTCGAATCTTTGGCAAGTTAAAAGAAGAGAATTTCTTTGGACCTAAGGAAGAGGTGAAGCTGGAGGCGCATATCAAGGTTCCCGCCTTTGCTGCTGGACGAGTTATTGGGAAGGGCGGGAAAACGGTAATCTAGATTCTTTCATGCCCGAATTATATTCAGTTTATATTTTTGCCCCTAATAAATGTTTTGAGTTAATTTTGATCTGCGTCTGCAGGTAAACGAACTGCAGAACTTGACCTGTGCAGAAGTGGTGGTGCCCCGGGACCAGACGCCTGACGAGAACGACCAGGTTATAGTCAAGATCAGCGGACACTTCTTTGCATGCCAGGTGAGTTGCATAAAAAAGTGCTCTGGGCATGTTTTTCTGACACTGAATAAATTCTTTGCCTTTCACTGTAGCCATACAGTTAATTTCCATTTATAACAAGAACAATGTTATGCACGCTGAGATGCTTCCAAAATTGATTATAAAAAAACAAAAAACTAAATTTGCCTATTTGTCTAACATTTTGCACAGGAGGTCAGCATTCTCTGGGCAGATTGCGTGGCATCCTTGTACACTTCATTTTATGCTTTGCTCGGCAGTTTTAGCCTAACACTTGTTCCTCTTGTCACCTAGCTGGCCCAGAGGAAGATTCAGGAGATCCTAGCCCAGGTGAGGAGGCAGCAGCAGCAGCAACAGCAGCAGCAGCTTAAGCCTACATCTGGACCCCAACCTCCAATGCCACGCAGGAAATAAACATCCAGCGGACCTGGAGGAACGGTGACCGAATCTTGCAAGAAGACTCGACAGAAGGACAGATGCAGCAGAGTCCAGGAGGGGGAGAAGACGATGACGGCAGTGGGTCCTAATGCTCATCTCAGGGGTTAAAGGTTGTTGGAGCCCAACCAAACATCCTCCCCTCCTTGTCTTACTTGGGACTGCGTAGCTGATTTAAGAAAAAAAAGAAAGAGACCCTGCGCCTCTAAAAGTTCCACCCACTCCGCCTCTCTGCATCTCTGCGAGAATGTACTCCTGAGGGCTCCCACCGTCGTCACCTGCCCTCACAAGTGCGCACCCCTCAACCGCTCTACTCATCCCCCAAAGGATGTGTTTAAACTTGTATTTTTTTGTTTTCTTTTTACACTAGAAACACAAAGAAATAAGGCCCCCCGCCCCCCTCCTATCACCGCCTTGGTGTTGTACTTTAAACATGACAAGATGTTTTGGTTGACTTCAGATTTAGCGAACACCTGGTCTATATATATATTTTTTTTTTCTTGATGTTTAATTGGTTGGTGAAGCTTTCTTATGAGTTTTCTCTGGAATGGAAAAAGGCATTGCTATCAAGGTCCTGTTTGGACCACCTGAAAGATTAATTTGGGGAGGGGGCGTGGGGAGGGGGGTTGGCTCAGATTGTGTGGGCCATGTTTAAGGGGGGGTTGTTTTAGGACAGGACCCCTGAAAGGGTGAATTATATGGGGCGTCCTGCCCTTGTGATAAGTGGCATTTTATAAATTGGGATGCATTTTACAGATAGACCTATAAACAAAAAAGAATTATATTAAAAATATATATATATTTAGAGTTGAGGGCAGCGCCACGACTGACACAGGGAAATGGTGCCGAACTGCTGCTGCCCAGGAAAACCAATTAAATATGCATTTTTACTTAACTACCTCAGGATCTAGTACCTCAGAAGAGAAAAGATATTATATATATGAAAAAAATTGTTCCTTTCTTTTTTTATTTTGCTTTGTGGTGTTTTGTATACTTTATAAAGCTGATAGTCTTTGAACATTTTTATTTTTTTAAGAAAATTTAAAATTTTGGTCAGCTGCCAACTGACCTTGCCTTCAACTCTGGTGCTTTAGGTGGCATTGTACATGTGTATGTGTGACTTAAGATGACCCTGTACATAAAGTCTGTTTGTACATAGCAGCCCCGGAGCAAGAGTTGGCGCCCCCTCAGCTGGCGGCTGACAGAAGTATAGAGAAAATCGCCTCAGTTTTTCCCCTGAGGGTCCACCATCTTCAGAAAGAAGTGCAAAACAACTACGACATGCAAATAATGCCAACCGTACATGACTGCAGCAATGCAACTTTTCTTTTTAAATTTTTTTTTTGGGGGGGGGGGATTACCATAGTTAATGATAATGGTACTTTAATTTGTCAAAAATTTCCTTTCACCTTCCTATTTGAGGGCTGTGGTCAGGGTGCTGCAGAGAATACTGTAATGGGGTCCTTCCTGTAGCTGCCCTCAAGTCAGCAGAGCATGTGTTTGTGGTCTGTTCTGTTCCCAGGCCTCCTGCCACCTTTGTTGGCGAGTGTCTTAGCGAGGTCCAAGCCCCCACTAGGTTTAATTTCATATAGAGCGAGCTTTGTCATTTCAGACTGGCCCTTGTAGCAAGGCCATCAAGTCGATGTCGTTAACTGCCTGGTGAGGGTAGGGGGAATCACACTGATAGATGCAAACGTAACTTAAGTTTCAAGGAAAATGATTTAAACAAAAGGATGTTCTCTGTAACCCGCAAATGTACTTGATGTTTCATTTAGTTATGCTTACAGGGAATAACGAGCCAGGATAGGCGCACACACCATACTGGGTGAACCCTGACTGGCGTTTATTTTAGGAAAAAAAGGAAAGGAATCCAAAAACGTAAAGATACAGTTTTTTTTTGTGTTTTTTTCATGCCGAATGTAAATATGTTGATTGTGGTAAAAGTGCTTGAGTGTATCCATGCTTCCACAGTAGAACGCCGTCTACCTCAGCTGAGGGGGCGGGGGGTTGTTGTGGCACTAGGCACCCAGCCCTGCCCCCACTGAGCGCCAGCGCGCACTGATACCTCAGTCCCCCAAACACTTTCTATTTGGGCGCGCCTTCCTAACACCGTGCTTAACTGAGGGGCACAAGTGATACTTTAAAAAAAAAAAAGTCCCTAACATCTCCCTGCCAACCCACCCTTCCCACAACTTCCCCCTTCCTCCAGTTTATTTTTGATCTACCTCTTTAGAAATGTATTTGAAGTAGAGGCATTCTTCTATTTGTTAGAATTTAACCCTTCTCCACACCTTTACGCTCCCCTCCCCCAGATAAGATTAAAAACTAAGATCATGAACTCTTTAGAATTGAGAAGAATCAAGTGATCCATTTTTTTCCCAGTGTTTATAAATATATACATGTCTTGACTTTAATTGAAATCCTCGAAACAATAGTTATTTCCTTCTGCTCTCTATTTTTGGTGGTGTGGCTTCCATGTGAACTTTTGCTTGAATTTTTCTTTTTGCATTCAGTAGCTAAAACCAGACAATTCAATTGTTTGTTTTTTTTTTTGTTTTTTTGATAAAGGGCCTGCCTATTGTTTCTGATTTGTAAGACTTCAAAATAGATAAAAGTCCTGTATTTTTTTTTTTTTTTTTCTTTTCTTCCCCTTTTGTCTTTCTCAGATGTTACACTCGCTGATTCGGTAGCTGTTTTGTTCTGTTAGCATTTCTTGGCTGTGTAACGTGGAACATCCTCCTTGGTATGGGACAGATGAGGGACCGGGCCTGAGTTTTTGTAAAAGTGATCAAACTTCAGCTTGATATTCTCTCCTCTGCAACAATGCTTGTGCCCCTTCACCTCCCCCTCACACACAGCTCCACTTGTCAAATGCCTCTAAATAAAGAAAAACAAAATGGAGAAAAACATTTGACACAAATGCATTTTCTTCTAAGATGACTGGGATGCTTTAACTTTTACAGTTAAGTATGATATTACAAAGTGTTTGGGAACCCCAACTAGAAAAAGTCCTGCGGTGCATAGTGTGTAAAAGTCAGCCTCTGCTGACTCTGTAGCTGGAGTTTTTCAGACCTGCTCATGGTCTGGGTTTCCATGACGGAGCAGATCCTGAGGGTGTTAGGTCCTTGGTTAAACTGGATATGTGACAAATGGCCTTTTATAATTGGGTTGACTGACCCTGTCAAACATGGTCTTTATTTATCACAATAGGTTAAAGAGAAAAATGGACTCACCTGCTCTATTTTCTATGAATAACACTAAAAGAAGCTGTGGGAAGTTGCTTGTAAGAAAAGGAAAACCAAACATTATCATGAGGTTTCAGCAAAGACCCACCAATCTTGTTTTTGATCAACTTGATTAGGTGATCATCAAAATGTGAGCACCTCTATAAAAGCAGCGGTCGTGTGTGTGTGTGTGTGTGATAACACAATGCCACAATTTTCTCAGGAGTGAGGTCCCAGCAAATTCACCCCAAGGACAGCATGTAATGCCCAGAGGCCTCCAGAATTAGAGCCATGTCTTATACTCTCGAGGCCTGGAGACACGCTGATCAACTATGATTTGTTTGGAAGGGTTCCCAGGAGTCTCTAAGAGCATTACCCCATGGCTTAGGTTTGTGAAGTTGCATCTGAAACAATGTTTACACATAATACGCAGTGCTACATTTAGCAGAAACCAAACGGTGTATCCACACAGGCTCAGCCCAACTGTCTAGGTCTGTGGCGGAGAGGTAACAATTTGGGCTAATTGTGCAGCCACAGGACCTGGGCACTTTGCAGTGAAGTATTGACCATGAATTTCTCTGTATACCAAAGTATCCCAAAGTGAAATGTGATGAGTCAAGTCATGCAACAGGACAATGATGCCATGGATGGCACAAAATCTAGAACTGACTGGTTAAAGAGAACATGTTGCAATGGCCCGGTCAGCACCTGAATCACAGGGTGTACTTTACACAGGGATGCAGAGAGTCCTGTGAAAACATTTTCCACATGATTGAAGTCGTGTATGAACTCGATACGAGTTCCACATGTAATGAGTTGACAATGCCCCAAATTCCAAAGCAACATACGTTAGGTAGTGCTGCATTAGAGAAATATTTAAAGTCACTTGGTAAACTTTGCTAAAGGAGTGAAAAATGTGTAATAGTACGGTATTAAAAACTTTAAGTTTAACAATTTGCCTCTGTGCAGTTTAGTGTACTGTACAGTAAAAGCATTAAGTATGTTGTGTGAACTACCTGCTTTAAAATCAGCGATGTGTGATTTGATTTGCAGTGTTTGTTTTGATCACAATAATATACAGGATTGTGTTGGGTCACAGGAAAGTGGTGACTTCATTGCTTGTTTTAAAAGCCCCAAACAATAGTGCTAATGGTTAAAATCCAGTTTTTCACTAAACCATGAATTTTCTGAAGTTAATGTGATTGTGTGAAACAGTTTTAAAACAGATTTAACACCACACACACGAACAAACAAATTAATAGAACACTAAAAATCAGTTCATCTAACGTTAAATACATTTTTTTCCCCAGCTCCATACAAAGACAGATTCCAGTGTCTTCAAAACATAAGTGGTTAGTTCACAGCCTTTATTTAGTGACAGACTGACTTATCAGCCTTTCATCCTCCTTGATTATGGCTATGTTTAAATCTTGGAGTTAAAGAAATAAAATTTTTAACTCATTTGAGGAAAAGCATGCATGTATCACTACTAGTAGGATTTTTACCCGTACATTAATATACAGTATTCTAAAGCAATCCATGACAAACGGTACAAAAGCACTTTTCATCAAAAACAGCCATTGCTTGAGCCTAATTCATTTTATAGCAGCTACTACACCCTATGTTGCAATCAAAATGAGTGCCTCAATCACACATTCGACAGCCTCTTCAGTAGAAAATCATCACACCAATCAGCAGCTGCTGTAGCAGTAGCAGTTTTCTGGAGCACCATCAAACAATTAAAACAAGCAAAATATTAGTTTCTTTTACAAATATGGTATTCCTGCTATTTTTGCACTTTAATGCTTAAACTTTTGATTAGATTCATATCTGACAATCACATGCTTTACGTGTTTTTTATTTTAAGTGATGATGCAGCTCAACAAAGCCTACAGGGGGTTTCTCTCAGTCAGCAGGTGACGGCTCTCCTCACTGGAGGGGAAGAGTGCCTCCTTCAGGCGAATCATGTGACCTCCAACCCCAGCATGAGGATCCTCCACCAGTGACCTGCGAATGGGCCGGTACACCTTGTAACGCCTGGAAGAAAGATGCAGGACACAAAAATATGATGGGAGGGTAATGACTCTCTAACTGGATGTGAGCGGCAAGAGTTGGAAAAAGAATACGAGGTGTTTTACGAGCAGGGTAGTAATCAACTGGAAATTCAGTGAGAATCAAAGTGGCTTTGTGTGCATGTGTAAATGCTTTTTAATGTGGCAGTAAAAGCCAAAGTTGTGCATTAAAATCTTTCTGCATCATATATTCGGGTCTTCACACATTTACTGAAGGAATGCTGCTGCATCTGAAGACTACTCACTTGTAGATCACACAGGCAATGAATGCAAAAATGGCCCCCAGAACAGCGCTCGAGGAGAGAACGACTTGGGCAGTGTGAGAGGTTGTGGACACTGATGGGTACAAAGGGCAGTGAAGAGAGTGTAAAACAGACCGGAAACTACAACACACCAGGCAACAGTTTCTACAAAGCTGATTTCAAGAAATATCCTGTTGTATGTGTTTGTGTAGCTAACCAGGTGTGTCCTGGGACTTGTTGATGGTGATGGTGGTGCTGGTGAGGGTCAAGCTGCTGGAGTTCTCCAAAGTGATGTTCACACAGTAGGTGCCCGGTTCCAGAAATCTTCGCGTCAGATGCACTTTGCACTCCGAGAGCGGCGGCACATCGTTGCACATGATGTTGCGTACCTGAGTGCAGCTGGGGTCTGACACGATGGTACAGGCTGAAGTGGGGATGCTGCGGATAAGGGATGAAGGATAAATCAAATAAACCTGTTTCTTTATCTAAAATGTATAGGTTTGTGGGGGGGGGGTGCCATTGCACCTAAGTGACTAAATTGGATGTGCAGGGAGAAGATCATCAAAAATAAAGTTGATAAACTCCAAAGGTTACTGTGATTTCCTCTTTGAATGTTTAAAAAATTATCTACAGTATTATTATTATTTTTTTACATAAATTTAAACAAAGTATATAATAAATGCATACCTGCCCAGACATTTCACCAGGAAGTTGATGTCAGTGTTGGTGACTCTGTGGGCTGACACTTCCAAAATCTGACTGCTTGGCAGGGTGTTCAGTGGGTGCTTGGGCTCTGTGGGGAACAGATTAATTATTTTGTGGGTTTTGGATGTGTAATCCTCTTCCCCCTAAATAATAATAATATGATGAAGGAACCAGTCAAAGAATCATAGCATGAGGTTGCTTGAATACAAGTTTGTAGAGAGAAACTGGATCGCAACAATCAGGATTTAATGCAGTTTAAATGGAAGAGTGTTTCCTTTTCATTATCAGGGGTGGTTACGCCACACAAGTACGAGTCCCGTCCCTAAGTCCATAGTTCGTGATGAAAGTGAAGCAATTCTGGGATGAAATGTGGGCTGGTTTCTTGTATGTTATTATGATAAATGTGACAAAATGGTTTTTGTTGGAAAGCTTTTAAAATCATACCCACTTTCATTAGCATTAAAGCCATTAAAGTATATTGGAAAATGTGCCCTCGCGTTTAGTTTTTTAAACTGCTACACCATGGCTTCTGTACAATGGTTCATGAAAAAAAAACATAACTTGAAGGATCCCGCACACTCCCACCTACCAACGACAGTGATATTGCCTGTGAAGGTCCCGTAGGCGTAGCGGAAACACTGGTTGCTGTTGCGACGCCTGGTGCGGAGCCACAGCGGGGTGGTGGGGTTGGATTCTGGGGCAACAGTGGAAGGGAGGGGCTCTGTGGTGGGGAGACCCGTGGAAGCAAAAGAGGAGGTGGTCGAGGGCAGGCTGGTGCTGGGCGGCACTGTAATATGAAGCAAATGGGCTCTGCATAGTGATGCACGCTGGTATTTTAACTTCCTCACATGATATGATTCAGCCTCTGCATTCGATATTCCTACATAATCACAATCATAATACACATTTAGCTGTAAAAGCCTCACCCTGTGTTGTCTCCATCTTGGCTGTAATCGCATGAGTAGCAAGTGGAGTTGTAGGAGCCTCTGAGGAAAAGACACGGGAGAAACATGTTTTTCCATTAGCACTGATTCCCCGTCTTTTTGTTGTTGTTGTTTTTAAACAGATACTTGTCTGTGTAGGTTCTCAGTGACGTCATGGTAGTCCTGCAAGCTTGAAAAAACCTTTTTAAAGTTAATTGAAGATGTGTAAATACCCGAGACTCTCCCTCTTTGGTTTTAGATCACCTCTCACCTCTTGGATGAGAGGTGAAACTTCTTCAAGAAACTTAAAGAAGTGCAGTCACCTTCTTTTTACGCTCCGAAGAAACTGTAGGCACTTGCAGATAATGATTCTGTCTTTTAAAGTTTTACATGTATTTTTTGTTTTTACATTCTTCATAACATAACTGTTTAAGTAGCAGTTGCTTCATATCCCCAAAGTGAAGAGAGAT